TTGGACAAAGTGGTCTCGAAAGGAAGAAGAAAAGAGAGAAAGAAAAAAGAGAGGGAGAAAGAAAGAGAGAGAGAGAGAGAGAGAGAGAGAGAGAGAGAGAGGCGATACCATGTTCGCTCGTCTCACCTCGCTCCTTCCTGATCGCGACGACGACGACAACGACGACGATGATGATGACGATGGTGGTCGTTGTGGTGGTGGTGATGGTATAGTGGTGGTCGGAGGGGTCCACGATCTCTCTCTTTCTCTCTCTTTCTCTTTCTCTCTCTCTCTCTCTTTCTCTCTCTCTCTCTCTCTTTCTTTCTTTTACTGGGTCCTAGACGGCAGGGAAGGCGGCAGGGAGGGGACCCTGGCGACAGACTGGCGGGCGCGCACCTGCACTCGGCTCGGCCTCTGAGAGAGTCGAGGCTGCGAGCCATCGCTGCGAACCGCGGCTGCGAGCCGACAATCAGGGCCGCACTCGCGTAACGAGACGTCGAATCGAATTGGTGCATTCCTTCGTTTCTATTCATTAATAAATGAAAAAGAAAGAAAACAAAAAAGAAAAGAAAGAAAAATAAAATTCATATATAACAGGATGAAGACTTAGAAATATTTTTTTTTCTTAGAAATATTATTTTCATTTTTTTCAATTGATTACTTCTATTAATAATGGACAATTTGTTTATTTAATAATTAAGAGGATATCACGGAAAAATTAATTTTGTAAAGGACAACAATTATTAGTGATAAGAATTATGATTATTAAAAGTCAAGTGGAAGGTACGATTTATGACGAATTTTAAATTGTTTTTGTTTACGACGTAACGAATTACGAAATATATAATATTCGTAGGAACGATTAAGGTGTTAATTTATTAATATAATTTTTGTCGTGGACATGTCGACTTTTAAGTATTGACGTGATTACGCAATCTTTTTTTCCAAGACGATTTCTCCTCGGAAACTCCAAAGGTCTCTTCGTGTAGGAAGTTATGTAATGTTAAAAACGGAGAAGCTGTTCGTTAGGTTTACGACTGTGAAATCGAAAAAGGCGAAAGATCTTATTAAATCTCTTATTTCAAATCCTTTCGGGTATTAAGCGCCACACAGGGACGCACCGTTTGCTATTGGAATTTCTTTTTCATGAGAAGGACTTTGAACATTTATAATGCTTGCCATTTAAACTGTGTATTTACTTATATACGCAGGAAAGATCTTCTAATGAATTTTTAATGAGTTTTTTTTCCTTTCTTTTTTTTTTTAATTCAAAAAAAAGGGAAAGATATAGCTATGTATACAGAAAGAAAGAGAGGGAGAGGAAGAAGGAGAGAGAGTGAGAGAGAGAGAGAGAGGGAAAGAAGAAACAGTTTAACCTTCAATCGATTCATAAAAGAGCCGAGTAATTGTTGTAGGTGAAACTCAATTAGCGTAATTACCTCTATAAAAGAAGTCGATAGGTTCTTGGTAAGCGATCGGAGCATAAATGCATGTAGGTAGGCCAATGTGATAACGCTTATCTCGAGGAAACACAAATGCCCTGGCTCGTAGCTAAGTTTGCATATCAATGGGAATTCTTAAGAATAGATTTTCACAGGAATCGTCTCTATGTTACCAGTATCAGAGTGTCTTGTTAGTGGAATCGATTTTTATTGAAAATTACAATCGAAAGACTGTATAGGTATTTATGCAAACAAAAAAAAAAAAAAGAAAAAATGAAAAGAAATTACGAGCTTGAAGAATATTTATTTAATAAAAAAAAGGAATATGTGTTAAACGAAATGATTAAAAAAATATGATAGAATTGATTTTAAAAAATTGACGAAATTTCTAATCGAAATCGATAGATTTTGAGGTATAATATTAAAGATATTTTTATGCGACGCCCATGCAAAGGCATACCGATAAACGTTAATGATACGTAGAATCGCTGTGACAACATGTATTTTCTCTAGTGGCGCTATCGAGAATATACCTAGGCGTGTTCGCGTGCAATCTGCATTCGCCGTAATTACTATTCGCAGCCGCGCAATACGACATCCAGTTCTATCGTTGCTAATTTCTACTTTAGATTGCGAACTGGAATCGTTGCCACGGCTGTTCACGGGTAAGAGAGAATTCACGCTCACACGTAATCCGCGTATCACTTTATGAATCGTTTCTTCTTATCAAAAAACGAGATTTGGTCGAGAGACGTCAAGTGGATTCACGTTCAATTTTTCTGATTATTCTCTTTTTAAAAAAATTTCTTTTAAAGATATAACGTGAAGCAAATTTTCTTTAAATTATAATAGCATTTACTTCCATTGAAAGCGTTAGAACGTATTTACGTAGAAGAAAATATGACGAGAGACATTGATTTATGTAATTCTCTCTCGAAGTGTCATTTCCTCTTAACGGAATAAATGCGAAAAAATATATTCTTGTTAGATGTAACAAACAGCAGCTGGTCGATCGTTAACGGTACTATTTTCTTCGAGTGTGTCGCACAGCTGTGTTAGAGGGTGGCTCATCGAGATCGAAGACAAAGGGGAAATTGGAGGACCGCTGATTTCCCGATGATAATTGGTCGCAGACGGGCCTGCGTCGTAATTGATAAGAAATAAAGAGAGGGAGAGAAAGATGTAGATTGCGTGGTCCGTGTACTTGTTTTGCTCTTATAACTTTATACCTCCTTGTCGTTTGTACTTGGCGTACCTCGGCTATCGCGCGTATCTTTACGTATCATCGTGTGTAGGTGCTTGCGTACCCGTAGTCCGACACGGGGAAAGACGTTTGCCGATTATGTAGACGGTCGCCTTGTATGCCGCCTCGTGAGTCGCATCGTATCGCACGGCATCGCACTATACCGCATTGACCGACCGATCGTTTCGTCTTTTGAACACGTGTGCTCTTATCAGAGTTCATTTTTCTTTTCGACGTACGATAACGCTCTCTCTTTCTCCTTCTCTCACTCTCTCTCTCTCTCTCTCTCTCTCTCTCTCTTTCTTTCTTTCTCTTGCACTCGTACTAGCAAAGCCAGTCATTTCCGTTTCATGATTTTTCGTGGAAAAAACATATAGCCTTTGTGTTTAATTAGAATATAAAATAGAAAATCACGTTAGATTTTATTTTTATATTTCTAACTTTTCAAGCTTAATAATTGAGACAGGATGAAAGAAAACAGTTGAGTGATACCGGAACGAGGTTCGACTAGCGTGAAAGAACTTTGTTATTTCTTCGAGAGTAGGTACGTACATACGTACGTACGTATGTACGCACACATCGAGAAAATTCAGGGCAACGCTCCGATGAAACACCTGCGTTGCCTCGTCTCGCTCGAAATCACAACAACTCAATGAATTTTCATCGGCAATAGGAATGAATTTTCATTGAGCATCGTATAGCTTTTCAATACGCATTACCATATTTTTCTTTTTGTATTTCTTTTTTTAATTTTCTTTTTTCTAGTATTATGTTGTCGAGGTAAAATTTATTGAAATTATCGTAAACGTTATGGCAAATGTTTACTTAGTCATATACATATTAGCCATATACATATTTGCCTGGGATATTGTCGCTAAGAATAAAATCAAGATTTACAAAGCCTTGATCGAAATCAAGAAACTTTCTGGTTTTTTTTCTTAATCGCCAGTGATACGCCATGAAGGATGTACAAATGATGTTGTAACGCGCAAGAGTCGTAATAAGGCCGACTTGCCTTGATAATCTCATATGCGTCTTCCGTGCTTTTACTTGGCCATGTAAGTTTTTTTTATGATACGATTTTTTTTTTATGAGAATAGTGAAGAGGAAAAAATCGCGAAAAGCCTAAGTAAAAAGGATAAATAAATTTTTATTTCTTTATTGTACAATAACAAATATAATATTTGATAATTTAAGAAATAATTGTATTTGTGTAAACATTAATATCAATTTTTAAATATTACGATTAAGTTAAGTTATTTGTTGATGTAGGAATAAATTTAGTGTAAGAAGTATTTATATTAAGTGCTGCCATCTCGTGTTGTGTCATTCTTCTATTGAACTTTAAGTGTTTAAAGAAGGATAATATAAAAGAAACATGAAATTCTTTTTTCAATCGAGCCAATAATAGTTACAATTATCTTCTGGTATTTGATTATTATCGTTAAAGGGTATTTACCGATCGAGTAAGATAAAAGTAAAACATTGTTCATGCCTATATATATATCGGTAATAGCTAGTAATAGTAAATTCCTGTTTCATCGGTTGATAACAGTAGATATTTATTTTGCCAACCCTGTACTTAATGGATAATAGTAGATTTATTAGTAAATAGATCAGATTCAAAATCAGATGAGATCAATGTTGGTAATATAGTTCAATTTGTTGGTAACTTATATTTAAATACTTTTATTTTGTAGCTAGTGTAATTTATTTTATTAATAAAATAGGATCGAAATAATAATAATAATAAAAAAAGAAATTTCTACTATAGTTTCCAGAAATATTTAATAAATAGTCTTATGAAAAGTATCTTTACGATTTTATCATTGAACATTATTCATAATTGTTCTTCTATTAAAAAAAAAATATATTTTATAATAATATATTAATATCCTAGTATAAAATATACATTTTAAGTAATCAATCGCGTATGCTAAGAAAAATAAAAATATTACATTAAAATCTTTTCGTCGGAATGTGAAAAGAAAAGAAAGAAAAGAGGCGGTGAAGTAGAGTCAGACAAATGCGAGAATTATAATTTTTTAAGGGCGGTCTGTTGAGGCACAAAAATGTCAAGCGATACCGACAGTTTTGCTCGATTTGTCCTAGAAATAGGATATATTATTTTAGCATTGGGTTTACACAAAAGGTTCTTCGTACTGTTTATTTAACTTCGAATCTTCTTTCCTTCTTACGTTACCATATCCTTCCTCTTTTAGTTTCCGGATATAGCTCTCGTACTAAGGACAGTTATCGAAAAGTATTTATTTCTTCTAAACAGTTACGAAACAAATAGTAGAATTTTCAATTGATAAAAAGATTTTATTCGACTAGTTCGCATGTTTTGGTTACAATTACAACAATAATCATCCATGGCACATCATAATGGTTTTCATGTATTAATAGTAATTTAATAAATAACACGGAGAGAGAAAAAGAAAGAGAGAAAGAGAGAGAGAGAGAGAGAGAGAGAGAGAGAGAGAGAGAGAGAGAGAAAGAGAGAGAGTAATAAGGCACTTCCAAATAAATAGATTGTAAATTGCCTTGAATATGTGCACAGCATACATTTATTTCTTTTTTAAATTCTTCTCTCGTTAAAGGCACGATTTCGTTATCGGGAAACTTTTCAAATCAGCCGTTCGAAAAGTAGGATTAAAAATAGGAGAGCTGTGCCTCATGATTGTGAGTATGATTGTGACGCATGGAAGCATTTTGGTGTCCACCGTGATGGAAGTTTTGAATATCGTTGCTTCCTTGCTGTCCCCGATACTGATTAGAACTGGCAGAAGTCGAGGATGACATGTTACAACTGTTATTCATCAACATCGAGGCATTTGTTCCTTGGATAGCAAAAGGCCATGACTATAAAGCAGAAGAAAGAACTTAATTATTAAACTTATAAACGTATTGACTGAAAAGAGAAGAGCTGTTCGTAAAAATATCTAAAGCTGTATCTTGAAATAGTCTTGAAATATTTCGTGAAAATTTAAAATACCGATTCTGAATATTTGACCGATAATATATATATATATATATATATATATAAACAATGGACATTCATAAGACCTTTTTCTTGAAATAAGCCGAACGTTTTAATAAGAAAATAGTGCTAAAACTGTTTTATTTCTTGCTATAAAACAAACATCCCTCTTCAAACAACAGAACAAAGTTAGAATTAATGGCAGCAAAGGGTAAGTGGGAGGTTTTAAAGTGATTCAATCCACCTGGAGAGACATAAACAGAGAGGATGACTTCGAAGACGACGTTTGCCGTCGCGACGCCGAATGGATCCACCTGGCGCGTAGCGTATTATTGTATTGAGTAGTTATAATGATATAGAAAACTATGATTATTCCATTTAAATAAGTTATCGTTATCTTACATCAATACGATACATTTTAATTAAAATAATTAATCGTTTCAGTACCATTAGATCTGTTAAAAAATACGATCGAAAAATGTTAAGCATGTCGATCGTGGTCGTTTTTCTTCTGATAAACAGTAAATATTGTCATATCTTATATACTTATGAGTATAATAATGAAAACAATCTCTAAATGAAAACAGTAAAGACACATATCGATAAAATCTGAGCGTGCGATCAATTTGTTTCTATGGACCAATGATCGGTAGGAATTTTTAAACAGTGAACAGAAGTGCGATCTTGCGATCTTCATACTCAAATGGTTAATATTAATAAAGTTAAGTTTGTTTTTTTTTTTGTGTATAAATTATCAGAAAGAGTTTATTTATTTTAGGATGAAAATTAATAAGAAAATTCAAACGATTAAATGGTAAAATATAATCGTGATCTCACCAAAGCCAAGGACAACGATCTCGTCGTTTCCGGATGAGAATCTCCGTCATCTCTGAGAACGGCACGAAGATGAGCGATATAAGTTGCAGCTAAACGAAGAGTATCGAGTTTACTAAGTTTCGAGTCTGGTGGAATCCATGGAAGGGTTGTTTTTAATCTGCAAAATGCTTTGCTTAAAACTCGCATCCTTGCACGTTCACGAGCATTAGCTGCGTTTCTTGGGGCTCGGCTATCCATATCTTCTTTGCTAAATTTTTCCTCCGACGCGAATTCTTCCTCGTCGCATTCCAACGATGGTGTCGACGCTCGACGTTTCCGTGGCATCTTCGATGTTAAAATCCTTATGTGTTCGTTGAAATGATAAAGCGAAAAATTTATCCCGAAGATCTTATCGTTGTCGATCAATTTCGATAAGAGGAGCAATAATATTCGTAATATTTTGATCGATTAGAAATTTGTTTATTTCTTTTTTTTTTTTTAATTTTTTTTTTTTTTTTTTTTTTTAATTCTTCTTTTTCTTTCTTTCTTTTTTTCTTTCTTCTTTTTTTTTTAGAAACGCAACTTTTGTCGAAAAGTTTGACGGTCGGAGACACCGCTTACGCGATACTAATTGTCAGCTGAAGTATCTCCAAGGCGAAGAGGAGAAGAAGATAAAGAAGAGAGAGACTTGGGAGGAGAAGTAAGGCGGAAGTAGAAGCACGTTGGTGGAAAGTACCACGAGATCTGTGGTGTCCAGAAAACCGGGCGGAGCTTTCGAACTTCTACGAACCTCCTTCTTTGAGCTTCTTCATCCTCCTCTTCGCGCTTTTCGAATGTTTTCATCCAATAGCTTGGTAGCTGCGTCATCTGGAGCCACCTGGAACATCCTTCTGTCTACCGTCTTTTTCTAAGCACTTACTCATTTTCATACGCACATTGCTTTGTCTACGATCGTTTTGACGTCTATTAAATTTTTTTATTTCCGTTCTCTTAGCACTTCCGATAAATTTCGTTTGATTTCTTTTTTTCTTCTCTCTCTCTCTCTCTCTCTCTCTCTCTTTTTCTCTTGTTTTTTTCTTTTGTTTCTTTTCTCTTTCTCTTCTTTTTCTTCAATTTTTTACTATCGAACTACAGAGTAATAAAATAATCAAATTTATAATAAATCTTTCAAGGCGATACGCAATTTGGAAATTGATTATAATTATATATTGGAATTTTTTAAAAATACATATGGTCTTTTTTTACTTAAACTCTTACATTTGAAGAGAAAGGTCATATAACATTAATCCCCCTAAAATCCTCGTTGACTGGCAGTTAATCGTTTCGTTGGAAGCAGGATTTGAAATGGATCCTGTAATATGAGTATTACAGTGACCCAAGTGAACTCTGTTAGCATCTTAGAAAGGACTAAATTATTGCTTGACAAATTTGTAAAAAATCTCTTGCAATTTGAAACGACTTGATATTTTTTTGGAACATAATCATACGACGATCCTTTTATCAATATATATATATATATATATATATATATATATATATATATATATATATGTATATACTATCATACTTTTAGATATATAGATGATAATGATTAATATTATTAATAAAGAACATTATGCATAAATAGAAATTTGATTAGAATAATTAATATATTGATAAGATTCGTCATTTACCTTTTTGAAAAATTAATCAGGATATATAACTTTAAAGAACAGTAAAATTAAATTAATATTAATATATATATATATATATATATATATATATATTTACTTTATTATTCTTTATTTATATTTTAGATTACAAGATATTCTCGATATCTATTATCTGATATATATTCGTAATATCTAGTTTGTAGTAGTATTATAGATCAATAATGATTGGTAAATAGAGATACTATATGAATAACCTATCATATATCTCCGTTAGTTTCAACGCGCACGAAAACTTCAATGTAGATTCGTGGTTGAGAACTAGCCAATCAGAATGTTCATATTCTGTTAGTCATGTGACCATTTCTAAACTTCTGATTCGTCGTTTAGTCGAACTTTCAGATAAAGATGGCAGTCTATACACGCTCGAACGTCGCTGAAGATGCGTGCTAAATGTGATTGTTAAGAATGTTGTACGTTTTATGATTCTTGATTGTATACGACTTTAACCTTTCTAATTGCTTATGAAAGCAATATTTTCTGCTTGTTCAAAACAATTGTTTACAATCTGTTTCGTAATTATGCAAATTGGTAATAGCTGCGATTGAAATAATAGTCAATTTATACAGTAAGGAACGTTCCCGAACATTGAATATTAACAAGATTTTTTTTTTATAAAAATCATTCTTTTTCAAAAGATGTAAGTAATCGAAATAATAATTTATATTTTAATCCATTATTGTATTTCACAGTAAACATGTTCTCTTAATGTATGGTTATGTAGATTTCAAGTATAAAAATGTCAAAAGAGCATCAGTTACCTTCTGATTCCGATGAAGATGATGAGGATTATGTTCCTGATGGAGCTGACAACGAACCTGTATCAGAAGTAGATTCTGAAGGTGAAGTAGAAAGTGGTCCGGAAGATGAAAATGATGAGAATAAACGAGAAACTGATAAGATAACAAGCAAGAAAAGAGGTAGACGTTCTGTCAAAGATAAAAGTACAAAACGTAAGAAAAAAACAAAAAGAAAATTAAAAGGTGCAGATGATTCGAAAGAAGAAGAGGAACAAGAGGAATCAGAAACATCGGAAAAGAAAGAACTTACAGAAGAAGAAGAAAAGAAAAGAGCAGATTCTTTGTGGGCAGATTTTATGAAGGATACCGGTAAGATATTATAATTTATTATTGTTCAATTTAATTTTCAAACGTTAATTATATTTTTGACTGATATATTATCCATTTCTATAATAGCGGTAGCTCCAAAACCAAAAATACAAACCCCAACGAATGGTCCAAAAGAAAAATCTTCTACTTTAATAAAACCAAAAGTAGAAGAAAAAGTGAAGATAACAAAAATATTTGAATTTGCTGGTGAGGAGGTAAAAGTTGAAAAAGAAGTATCAGTGGACTCTGCAGAAGCTAGATTATCCTTAACTTCTGCTGAAAATTCTGTGAAGACAGATGCCTCGACTTCTCCTGCCGGAAGAGGAAGAGGAGGAGGAAGAGGTATTAAAAGGGGTGGATTAGGAGGTATTTCCTCTGTTTTAGGACAGATTGGAAAGAAAGCAAAAATTAGCACATTGGAAAAGTCTAAGCTTGATTGGGACAATTACAAAAAGCAGGAAAATTTAGAAGAAGAAATTATAACTCATAATAGAGGAAAGGATGGTTATTTAGAGAGACAAGATTTTCTTCAAAGAGCAGATTTACGGCAATTCGAAATTGAAAAACAATTGCGTAACTCTAGTAGACGCAGTACACGATAAGTCAATGGTATGATGAGATAAAGAAGAAGAAAAAGAAAAAGAAAAAAAAAAAAAAATAAGCAAAGAAAAAAAATAAAAAAAATTCCAATTTTCTCAGCTTGCCATTGTCGGGTACCAATAATACGCATTTAGCTTAAACAATTACTGGGACTATCGTCGTATTTCGTTTAATGCATAAGAAAAATTTGCCTCGCTTGGCTTGCCAATCAGCTAAATCAGTTTTATGGTAGCGATTGACAACCAGATTTTTTAAAAGAGACTGATCATTCCACTGTATCGAGACTAATTCTCTATATGTATCGTGTAATAGTTTAATTTACTTTTTGCGAGCATTTGTCTCGTCCAGTCGTATCGTTACAGAACTTCGCATCGAAGCAGGATATTTGAAGCTTGATGCTTCTCTTACCGATTATATTCAAGTGATACAAGCTTCAATTTCTTTTATTCAATACAATACAATAGTTTAACTAGATAATGTAAATAAGAGTTGGCACTATAGAAAATATCACAAAATTACCGAATATTAGAAAGAATGATGCGTGCATATGGTAGAGTATGAATCGTAATACTTATATATACGATATTGATTTATTGAACTATCACGATCACTGCCTTTGGCGAGTCATACGAAGAGTACGTTATTTTATTTATAGATAATCATTATATATATATATATAATCATTATTTATATATATATATATATATATATATATATATATATATATATAGAATCACAAGATATGTTACGAAACGCAGCATAATTACACTTACCGTAGTTATTTTTATGTTTTTAAAGATCTGTAAAAACATACACAGACTTTAATTGATTTTTATTAATGGGACATAGGCAGTGGACGATCTAATAACTAAATAAGTAGTGTATATATATGACATGTTTACCAACATGAATTCCGATTAAAACTTAATTTCAATTTTTCATGTAACTCAGGTCACAGTTTCTTAAATGTATTAACTTTGCGATATATTATCGCATCATTATACGTCAAAATACTTTACGTTTGTGGACTTAATAACCTTATGCAATAAAGATAAAGAAGCAACAGTTTTTGTCAACGATCTATTGAAAATAGAGTCGGACATAGCGATTGTGTTTACATACAAAAATGTATACCTCTACGTATAATATTCAATCCTTTTGAAAAAACGCCTTGTAAATACGACTGATCTTGAGGTATCATGCTAGGTAATAAGGTAAATAATTAATATAGAAATTATCGGAACATTATTTTATATAGAAAAACTAGCTGCATGGTATTGATGCATATTCACATTTTCAATCGAAGCTGTTATTACGATATCTCGCAGAATCTATCATAGTTTTATCATCTGGAAGAAAAATGTTTTTCTTTTTTTTTTTTTTTTTTTTTGAACGATACGATTTTCTCGATGTTTTCTCATGTTTCTTCATGTTTCTTCATGTTTCTAAATTAATTATTTTTTTCTTTGAGTTGTTGTGAATTTATATATATTTATTTGAAGATACCTTTATGAAGTATGACAATTAGTTAACATACATTTCTGTACGTGCAACAATATTCATAGCTTTGGGGTGAATTACGTATTACATGTGATTTGCAAGATTTGGATCTTTTAGATCTCTTAGAACTTTTACAACAAAAGAAAAAACTTCTGAGACATTTTCTTAGCCAACTAAATTTTCCTTTTTTCTTACAACGAGATCGATGTCGCTTTTTTTTCTTCTTCTTAGGTTCGTAACATTTTTTGATTCTACATTCGCAACATCTTCCTTCTTCATTCTCTTCGTACCGATGAGCCCTCTCTTTCATTCTGGATTTTTTCGGTCTGTAGGATTTTTTTTTTTAAGGATCTTATTCACAACGTTGCACCAAAGAAAACGAGACTTTTTGTACAAATATTATGAATCTTTGAGAGTATAAATATATCAGTATTTTACCGTGCTTTTGTCAGTGAATCCGTGGATGTGGCATGTTCTGTGGTAGTTTTTAAAAGTTTACATTTTTTGCTAAAGATAAAATAATTTTACGTGAGATATTTTTTTATATTTATTCTTTTTTTTTCTCTTCTAATTCGTATATATAACAGAAATTTACTTTTTGCAACATATCCCACAACGATCATTTTTTTCTTGTGGCTTTTTATGCTTTAATTTCGTACATTTTGTTCGTTTATGCTTGTTGCGATACTCTCGTTCACTATCGGAGGAAAATGTTATGCATGGCTTTTCATGAATTTTGCATGAGTCTTTCTGCGATTTTTGATCACTGTAAATTTTTAAAGTAAATACATGAACAGAAATATGAGAATAAAAAAGACAAGATAGCGATATCAGAGACGGAATAACATACTTAAAATATTTATTCAAAGGACACCTTGGATCAGTACATCTCTTTGGCATTTTTTATTTCCGCGAAAAAAATATTGTACATATCCTTGCAATCTAAATGATCCGCTGATTATATTTAATATATATTATAAAGTAATAAATCAATTAAAATAAATCGCGATGATCGAATAGTACTTACATTGGATATACATTATTTGTTGCATATTGTATAACTTTAAAGATTTTCAACATTTTTCTTTTTTAAACATTCAATCAAATTAATATCAGCCGTAATGTATATTCATATTATTGTTTTAATTTTCTTTTGGATAGTTTTGCATCTTAAACTTAGAATAAGATTTTGAGAGTAAGCACGAAGAATTTACTTCTTTTTTTAAATCAATCTTTTTTTTTTTTTTCTTTTTTTTTAATTTTTAGGATTATCGCCTAACCTGAGCCGTATTCACGAATATTTGACAGCTCATGAACTTGACAATATTTCGTATCGATATTTAATCATATTCTCGCAAAAATATCCAAAGTAAGATCGCGCTTAGAATGAAAATAAAAAGAGAGTTAGAGTGTGAGAGAGAGGAAGAAAGAAAGAAAGAGAGAGAGAGAGAGAGAGAGAGAGAGAGAGAGAAAGGGAGATGAAATAAAAAAAAAAAAGAAAAGAATACGAGGAACGGCATCTTCCTTCGAACATCTTCTTACCAGTAGTTTGTTAACTCGACGTATGTGTACGACGGCCAACAAGCAAGAGTATCGACGCCAGACTGGCGGCCATTAGTTGCGGCCTTGCCATCGGCAATTTATTCACCAACCGGAATATCTTTCCAGCCGTTCGGCAAGCCTCTTCCATTCCGGAGCACGATCGTCAGAATCTCATGGATTTTCTACTTTTCATACGTTCCACACGAAATCAGAATTTACTTTGCTGAAAAAAAAAACAAGTTAATGGTTACAAATTGTTATTATTATTGTCATTATTATTATTATTATTATTATTTTATTATTATTATTATTATTATTAATATTATCCTGAATTGAGGAAGTTGAATAAAAACGAGCGATTAATCGTCGAGGAGGTAACTATACTTTACTTCGAGCTTCCGTAATAACTATGCGTACTTTAAAAGCTATGGCATGGTTAAATATAAGCCGCTTTATTACGCGACTCGTATATATGTTCTCCCTTAAGAATTTCCCGGCTGCAAGTAATAATGTATGCTGTGCGTGCGTTATTACAAACGCATCTCCGGTAAATCTCTAGGTCGGTAAAATGGGAAAGGGAGAAAAAGGATAGGTGCGATAGAAATGATGAAGTGATCGTCATTGCGAGGGATGATGGGGTGTTAGTGGCATGGGAATTTAAAGGGACGAATACGAAATTTGCCAATAAAATGGAGAACGTATGGCTTTGTTTGGCCAAAAACGAACATGTTTGGTAAAGCAAAGAAGAGTTAACTGTGAATAATAATTTAGTTTCCGTCGAGAGAAAGGATTTCGTTTTGCGAACGTAATTTCGTACTGTGATCGATGGAATTTGCAATGCTAAACGAATTCATTTGTATTCGGGATTAAAGTCGAACAAGGATAATGATTTTATTGGCGTTTATATATTTCTGAATCAAGGATTCGTGTTTCAATTTTCCTTTTTTTTTTTTTTTTTTAATTCTGATCGTTAATTATTCGCAAGGTTCATAGATATATTTAAATCAATTTAAAAGTGATATCCCTTTACGAGGAAGAAAAAAGAATACAAGTTAAAAAGTATTTCCTTGAAAAGAACGATCGATGAATCATTTTTTTTTCGTGTTATTACGTAGGATAGTAATATATCTGGTTGGTTCATGGTCGGTAAGCGGTAATGAATGTAAAAAATATTTCGCAGGCGGATCAATGAATGAATAGTCACCGTCGAGATATAGTTTATGATGAAGGATAAGTTTAGGATGGAAAAAGTGCGTACGAGGACTGATTCCTTCTCCATCACGGATAATGTATATGGTACATAGAACAAAAAGGGATATCCACTCGAAAATGCGGAGGCCACTCGTACCTAAAAGCACTTGGATCGGTATGTGGATCGATTACATAAAAGAAACGTGGCGCGAATTAATGGTAGACACGAAAGCGTGGTACGAGAGGAAACGTGAAAAAAACCTTGAAAAGAAAAAGAAAAATAAGAGTAATTGAATCGAGAGTAGGAGCAAAGTGGAACCGTAAGGCTTTCTTTTTTTTTCTTTTTTTTTTCTTTTCTTTTTTTTTTTTTTTTTTTTTTACATTGTTCTTTCGCACTGGCTCAGTTTCTCTCTGTTCCATCATTTGACGTAGGTATATCTACGTGCCATGACGTGTTCTTCTTTGGAATTCGACGAGAGACGGTAGAAAAAGCAAAGCGTTAAACGACGTGCGCGTGTTTTACTGCTATTTTTAAACGTTTCGATGTGTAATGTCTAAAGAATGATATTTTTAAACGAACTTACCAGGCCATTGTTCATTCGTCGCAATTATTATTACAAGTTGAATCTACGTCGTCTTGATTATTTTCTTCGTTAGCGTGTCGAAGTATTTTAGGAAGGGAGAGGGAAAAAAATGTTCGACTAAGTTCGTTGAATAGATTTTATTTTATTTTTTTGTTTTTCTTTTTCTTTCTTTCTTTCTTTCTTTCTTTTTTTTTTTTTTTGTTTTTGATTTTACTCGACAACATTTGCCTCGTCACGACACCAACACGGTCTACCTCCCATTTCTAATTTTCGTTTGAACGCAGAGAACAGTCTAGTCTACGGAGGTCCCTCATTTTTCAGCGTCCTCCGCGTTTCCTCTTCTCGTTTGCTTCTCTCTATGCCGCTTTCGCACCCTCCGGGTAAACGATCTCCTCGGGCAACGCGTTTCTCGGTGACTACGGAAGACAAGTAGCGGGAAGATTCTTGGTCTCTTTACCCTCATCACAGCTTCCTCCATCTACCTCCTTCTTTATCTTCTCCTCTTTTTTCTCTCTCTTTCTTTCTTTCTCTCTCTCTTTCTCTCTCTCTCTCTCTCTCTCTCTCTCTTTCCCTCTCTTTTTCTCTTCCTTTCGCTCGACGACGGGTATATTTTATGGATGGTCGTCTAGAGCTCTCACGGCGCCAGCTCTCTCATGGATACATCGAATACTTGCATCTCCTAGGAATGACTGGAACGTAAACGTAAGGCGAGATGCACCGGTATCTTTATCGAACGGCATCGAGTTCCAGAAAATGGAATCTCAATGATGAGAATGAAGTCTTCGTGAATTAAATACCATCTTTCCAAGGATGGCACGGGTAAATAGATAAAAGTTTTGTTTAAACGACAGAAACTATTTGTTAATTTTATGCCGGTGTAAGTTTTGCAAATCTTTATCAATTCCAATGACCAGACCGCGATGTCGCGACGTACGATTAAAATTCATCTTGTTGCAATGTTCGTAAATCAAAGGCTCGTTTGTTTGTTAGTTGGGATCGAGTTCGTTTTGCCGGCGAACACGTGTCGGAATTCTGACGGCGTGCAATACGAGATAATAGTTAAGTACTCGTGCTAAGATACTTCTAAGAAGTCGTAACCGCTAATGTGTGCTATCTCTCTTTCGCTCGAGTTGACTCTCTACTCGAACGGACGAAACAAATGGCATGTCGTTGCATCGACGAAGAAATACATCCGGACTTGGATGGTTCGTTAAGCGAGCGGCATTATGCTCAGTTCTATAGGACATAGACGAAACGATTGTTACACGGAAGGTTAAAATCTCGATAACGCTAACGAATTTACACTGAACGAAATGCTTTCGTTATCTTTTACAGCATTTACATTTCGGTCCTTTTGTCCACTATCTTAACGAAGTTTAATGCTTTAGAATATCTATAGCTATTACAGAGAGGACCTTGCAATCTTGGTCGAGCAAAACGTATAAACATTATCAAAGTGAAAATACGTTATTATCTTCAGGCCAGTTTGGCATTTCAAAGTAAGTAGTAAGCAAAGAAGAATCTCTATGAAAGAAACGAAATTGCCTAAAGACGGAAGTTATACGGTGATTTACGATTAATGTTTATCTCGTTTAATTGGCCTTAAAGTTTCTTTGTAACGAAACCGCATATTGCGAAACGATCGAAAGCTTATCGTCGGAGACACGAGGAATTCTTTATGGGTCACGTTTATCTTACATCATTGGACTGAATTCGTAGATTCTACTTTCGATAAAGGCCATTTGTTCAGACGAGTAAACGACAGTGAAGGATTCGTTACATGACGTCGACGACGGAATTCGTTGGTAACGACATGAGAATCATTTGTTCTGACTCATCCTTTTCGTGATGTAAACTTTGCTTTTGCTTATCGTTAACTATAAACAGGTGTTATAACGGAGGAAGGAATTCCCGTTCTCGTCATTATCATTATATTTTATTTTTTCTCTTAACGGAAAACAGTTGTTATGGTATATAGGTATGAAGCGTACTGTATCCTCTTGTTCCTGAGATGGATAGAGTAAGAAAAAAAGGAATGTAATGGGCCGGAGTCCTTGAAAGGACCGGTTGACGTGACCGGTCCACTATTTTTAACCGGATCCTTTTGTTTCGCTGCTTTCATCACTTCCCTTTTACGTTCGACCTTGCACTTGATTCGAAGATGTCCCTCCTCTTACACTTGATTTAGAAGATCGATCCTCCCGTATGTTATTCATGCCCTTTGTTCTTTTCTTCGTTCTTTTTCTTCTACGTTGCAATACCTTCACGGATGACGATATCTCTTTGAGAAGGTTGCTTTTAAATTTCAGATACGAACATGTAGGAAGAGACATAGACATAGACAGGAAGAGATAGAGAGAGAGAGAGAAATACGTTGAGAAAGGAATTTGTCATTTGCAAGACAGCTCATTGAACACGGTCATTATGCGTCCTACGAAGCGATCGTTACATCGCGAATACAAACGAGTTCTTCTCTCGTCGTTTCTACCGATTCAGAAATGAAGTTGTATTTTGTCGGAAACATATTCATAACCCAAATATAGACGACTTCAGAAATACAACTGGATTTCTATTCAATCGAAAATTCATAGAAAATTTATCGTCATAGGTTTGAAAATAGAACGTGAAAGAAAAGAAATTTGTTTGTATAATGAATTAAAGATGGCTCATCTTTTATTTCACAAGATTACGCATAATGTAATTTTGTGAAATAAATGAAAACAGAATTTTGGATATGTCGATCATCGGAAAACGTATTTTCGTGGTTCCATTATTTCATTCGCGGTCGATATTAAATTTAAGAAATACCGCGTAGGACCGAGGAGGGTTGATAGTAGGCGTTCGGTAATTTCCGTCTGTGTTCGGTCGTCTTCGGGCGTAGCTACACCGCCCGGAACCGTCAGTCTCGCGCACGACTTCGAGGTGGGAGGACGTATTGTTCCTTATACTGTTGGTTTGATTTTTCGACGTGGAAAAATCGATCGTACTCGGTGAATTTCGACGACGCCTCTCAACGTCGACAAGTACGTTCATGTTACAACGAGAAACTCGATTTATCCCAGTACTGATAAATAAAGTAAATCGTTCGCGTATTACGTGAATAACCTCTACACGTTAATTCGGATGTGCGTAGTATTGTGAATACATTCTCTTTTTTTTTTTTTTTGGTGTACATCGCTTTGATCAATCGCTTGGTGTATATTATTATTCTTAAAGGTGTTTATTTCGTTCTATCTACTTTGGACCGAATTTATTATGTTACTACCGAACGCGCGTGCGATCGTCACATTATTTTGACCGAAGGTGCGCTCGATTACGAGAAAAGGACCAACGTTGCAAAATGTTACCACAGACTCCTGACATTATTCCCACCACTCTTAATCAGGTATATGCCAATATGTAATTATATATATATATATGTTAATTTTAGTAAATAATTTCGACGAAAAGAATTTATCTCGAAAATGAGAAACAAGACGTAACGACTCGTTTAATCATTTCATCGATAATAATCATTTATATATTATGCTTTTTTTTCGAATTATACCGATATATGGTATATATTATATTTCGTACTCATCTCTATTTATGTATTTAATTTACATTAAATATCATTATGACGTTATATCATGTCTAAAAAAATTAATGAACATTTTTCGAAAGTTCGACGATGTAGAATGTATCTCCGAAGCTCGTATTTCTACTACATTTATCTTTCGTTCTTTCTCTCTCTCTCTTTCTTTCTTTCTCTCTTTCTCTCTTTATACTTCTCTTTCCCTCTCTTTTTCTCTGATCGCGTGTGCGGCGAATGCGTGAAGAGCAGTCTTCCTTTTGGAACGTTCACCGCACCAATTATTGATCCCCTAATAAGCACAGCCCGTGAAAAAAGAAAACAAAAGGAAAACAAAAAAAAAAAAAAAAAAAAAAAAAGAAAAAAAAATTACTTGAAAAATTTGAATATACCATTTTACTTACTTATTGGAAATCAGAAAAGAGATTACGTGTATTCACCGTTATTGTAACTTTTACAAGTTGACCTTGACTCTTGAAGATTTTTTTAATACTCTTTTATTCAGAAAAAATGAGAGCACAGTTGGTGGTTGGAGCGGTAGAGGGGATAAAGTCGTTAAAATTGTCCTTCCTCGAACAACATCAATACGAACAGTATCGATTATTATAACATTTTTATGAAACATTTTTTGTATTGTTTTACACTTTGTCGTACGAGTGAGATTAGAATCGTACGAGTAAAATCGTACTCGTAAAAATATCGCCAAAGGATATCGAAGATGGTACCTACCGCCGTTCCTGTCAAGATGGCGCGTAGAAGACAAATATTTGCTCTCTGAAGTTAGGGATTTTACAAGAATACAGAACGTTTCTGTGTGAGAAAAGAAAGTTTTTTTTTTTTTTTTTTTTTTTTTTTTTTACGTCGCGTCACGTTTAGTCAATATTAAACATTCTAAAGTCGGTCGATAGGTATTTACGTATTTTTTTTTTTTTTTATTTCGTATCTCTGGATTGATCGATAGATCGATCAATCGAATCATTCTCGAGCCGTAGTGCGAAAGCTCTTTTAGAATTTAGATGAGCCATCGCCAAAGAATCTCCTTCCTTTTATCGAGATCCTCAGGTAGAAAATATTTCAAAGGTTTCGACCTTTCCTTTATACACCGAAGTTCTGTGCAATTTCGATCATTTCGATTTTCTTCGATCGAGACATTAAAAAAAAAAAAAAGAAAAAAGAAAAAAGAGAAAAAAAGAAGAAAGAAAAAAGAAAAAAGAAAAAAGAATTGTCCTCCTTTTAATATTAATCGAATTTTTGCACGTTCATTTTAGATCGTGTTAACATAAATCCGCTTGTAAAAACTTTTTGTTTCTACATCGGATCGAGATCATTCCGATTCGATTATCGTGCGCTTGCAATTCTTTATGAATTTTTCTATACGAGCCAGATTTCATCGGACGAACCATTCGCGCAGAATTAAAGGATGTGTAACTGAGTTTTCCGATAAAAATTTTATATTCATAGGATCGTTTTGTAATCGTTATGTCGACTAAAATTTGTTCTCCTCCTCTCTCTCTCTTTCTCTCTCTCTCTCTCTCTCTCTCTCACTCTCTCCATTTTTCTCCCTCTTTTTCTCCCATTTTAAAATACATAAAGAAACATAAATATCATAAAAAAAGTGCAACTTTGCGTTTTATAGTAATCACGTGTCAGAGATACGTAACATTGCTATTGTGTATATTTTATTACGTAATACCGCGATGTCGGACAAATGTTCTCCTTTTTATAAATGAAACCGTGACTTTTAAAGGCAACAAAGAATATTTTTATAATGCTAATGAGTACTCAAAGCGTTAGAAAGGCGTGGGCTTTTTTTTCTTTTTTTTTGCTAGGAATAAATTTTAACTTGAATAATTTGAAACTTTAATATCAGATATTTATCAGAACCCGTAAGAAAATTAAAGCTATATGTATTTTATGTTTGCCAAACATCGATAAGCTTTGTTATATCCCAGTCCATAAGAATTTTGAATTGCGAGAGTCTTTGTTAAATAGACTTTCAAAAAAACTGAATGTAAAAGAGTAAAAAAGACGGGAAAAAAGAATACTACTCGTTTGACGACGAAAGAGAAAGAAGTAAAAACTAAAATGTATATACTGTATATGGACTTACTATACTTATATATTTCTCTAAACTCTTGCATTGCTGTTCGCGCGAAGAAGCTGGAAAAGACGAATAATAAATGGAGAAGCGCGGCATTGAACGGACAATGGCGTGGAATATCCGCCTTGTGTGCTGGTAATGTACAACAATAGAAAGACCTCGGTAGTGGAATATTAAAGCAAAGGTCTTTGCTTGTTTCGCGATATTTCTCTCTCTCTTTCTTTTTGATCACAAGTTCTTTTTATATTATTTTATTTTATTTTTATTTTATTTTATTTTATTTTATTTTCTTTTATTTTCTCTTCTTTTATTCCCTTTTATTCTATTTCGATAATTTTTCCTGGTGAAAGTAAGGTAACGTCGAAACAATCGTATCGTCGATATATCGAAAGTTTCGTGGAACTCTCGATGACTCGCTGAGGACTCGCCGAGAAAGAGGAAAAAAAAGGGTGGGAGGAAAGAGAGTGTCTTCATTCGAG